GAGTCTAGCCGGCCTGCAGTCTATCCCTGTTACAACCACTATGGGTTGTAACCAGGTTCTTGATGGATGGACCCTAAGTGATAGTATCCGACCCCAAGTCGGTAGTGGCTTTCAAGGAGTTGACTAGGTACTGCAATAAATAAAAGGGGAGTGGATTAACACAACACTGATTCTTTTATCAATATATTCCCATGACCTTAAATAGAAGCATAAAAATTAATTATTACTACACTTAAATGTATATACAGGTGCCGCTCTCACATAGGACACTGAGCACTCCACGACGCTAACACAATGCAGCCTTCGTCAATCTTCGTGTTTCCCCGACACACAGTACCGTTCCCGACCTTACCGGCCACAGTACTGGGAAACACTGACGAGTCTACCTTTGCCATGGGCCAGCCTACCGGCAGTCTCACAAGGTGCCTCTCTGCCCACAACCACTCTTCCAGCCAAGTGCTGACAGAGAACCTCAGCCACGCGCTGATTGGGGCGTCTACACAGACAAATACAGGGGTACCGCACCCCTGGCAGGAGCCTTAGTGACGGACTAGTAATGCTCCTCGACAGGCACCTCACTGTCAGTCGTGTCTCCCCTTCGCCAGTCCCGTGATGCTCCAAATTCTTCCACTGCTACTACTAACTGAATCTACACTATTCCTGATTGGCGGCGGCTTACTTAGTCATCAGGCGGGACCAAGTTGGGAGAGTTCAGGCTGCCCAAGGTAGACTGCCATCCTCAGTACCACTGCTGATCCCAAGTCGCCTCTGTGGATACAGACACGTCATCAGTTATAGGGTACCGGAGAAACCAAGAAGCAACACTGGCTCACTCGGGCATTGACATTATGCTTGTAGCTCCTGATGATGCTGGTCTTAAATCACCGCATCACCAGAGGTCACTCACTACGTTACTACGACCTCACTTGTTAATCAAGGCAGGAATTTTGAGCCATTTACAGCTGTTACTCCACCACCCATAAATGGTGTTGTCTATGTAGCGTCCCATTCCTTGGGAGTTTGAGTACAGACTCATAGATGGCACTGGAACTGCCAGGCCATATGCAGATGGCGGTGGCAAGTCCGTAACAATCCCCGTGCCCATGACGTTTGTAAGTTTGCTGCTCTTGTTGCCGTCTTTGGTAACATGTCCTGGGCTGACATTCAAGCACGGGGTTTTTGGCGGTCGAACAGCGTCCTGGTTGCACGCTACCTTGTTAACGTTCCTGGGCCTAGTCGGGCCTGTGTTACTTTGGGTCTCGCATTCGAGTTGAGATGTGGAGCATCGACCGCCTCCCGTCACACGGCCTCCCCGGGAGGCCGTCACACGAGGCGTGGCTCGTGTGACGTCATGCTTGTTTGCTCGTTTTCTTTTGGGGAGTTCTGTCCACTTGTTTGCCTATTTTCGGCGTTTTTAACCAAAATAGGGGTTTGTTTTGGGGCGGGGCAGCCCCGAGGCTGCCCTGTTTGGCTTCTAGGGTCCCAGACTTGGGGGTGCTGGTCACGTTGGCCTTAGTTCAGTCTGTGCCCCTTCGTTCTTCCCCTGCTGTGGTTCATTTGATTCACCCCCCCCCCCCCCCCATTCCCCTGCTTCCAGCTCCCAAGCGTCTGAGGGCTTTGGGGTCGGGGCAGGGTTTAGAGGTTTCTGAAACTCGGACAGTTTCGGGGGTTGCCCCTTCCGGGGTGGCGACAAAGGCATTTGAGTCTGTTACTCCAACCATAGCTCTGTTGTTTGACCTGTGGGCAAACTCTCTTCCTGCTCCTTCGGCCATCCCGGCCTTTTCTTGTGAGGCCAAGGCTTTGGAAGATGACTCTCTCCTGGGGTTGGGAAGGAGCTGACTTGGGAGCCTTCAGCCCTGTTGGTCCCCGCCTGGGTTTTCCGACCCCCTCCGAGTGGGACTTTCTGTTACAAGGAGTGGGGTTTTCCTTCCCCCTCCCCCTTCTCCTCTGTGTACGAGTTGGATTTGGGTTCGGCTCCTTCCCAGGGTTCGGTTCCGTATCTCTGCAGGTCCTTCGGTTCCATTTCTCCGGAGGTTTCCAACTTCCCGAGTCTCTCCTACAGAGGTGCGGGGTAGCCGTTGAGGCTTACCTCCTACTCCAGCCAGAGCATGGTTCTATAATGGAACCGTCTTCCTTCAGGTAGTCTCCATACTGGGTTCGTTATGAGGTTCCAGAGTCGTCAGTGCTTGCGGACTGCCCTGTGTTCTCGTTGGAGACTTGGGACACCTTCTGTCATACCCGCACGCTTGAGTGACACAAGGCGTTGACTGTGGTCCAGGTTTACCAGGGGGAACGACTTTGCACACCATAATGAGTACCTTTTCGCTCCGTCCCTTCTGCGGGATGTTGGCGCGGTTCAGATTCACGTGCAAGTTCCTTCCTTGTCGGCTGCACTGGTGACTGAAGACTTGCACGCTCTGGGTTCATTGGCTTTGGTCCTGCATTTCATTTTCCTCCTTGAGGTGTCTTCCGATTGGCTTGCTGCGGATGTGTAGGCGCTTGGGGCCAGTCCCAGAGGGATCATGCCAGGGCCTGCGGTTCCGCTCGTCGAGGTGGGCCACAGGTACTGGTCTTGAAGCCAGTGCAGCCTTTGGTCCCGGCTGCACCTGGTCGCCACTGTGTTCGCTCTGTGCGCAGGTCGGGTTCTTGTAAGGAGCATCATCCCGTTCGCGGTTCGCCCCATTGATGGGGCGATAGGGGAGAGGCTTGTTCTGTTCGCTTATTCCTGGTCTCATGGTTCATGGGCTTTTCGGGTCGTTTCTCACAGCCTGCGGTGGCTTTGGGTGGCTTTGGGTGACTCCTCCTCCTTCGGGGGTTTCGGGGCTGGCAGGGCAGGCCTTTTATCCAGCGCTTTGTCAGGTTGTCTTGGAGTGGGTGCACTTAGGAGTGGTCAAAACGATGACATCCCACAGGTGGGTTTCCCACCTGTTTCCAGTTCTGAAACGGGAGTGTGCGGACCTGCAGTTCATTCTGGACTTGTCCCCTCTGAACCCCTGGGTTTCGGATGACCACTCTGTCCCAGGTCCAGCTTCTATTGGAGGCGGGGCACTTGGATAGTGTCCCTGGACCTCAAGGACACATATTGGAATGTCTCAATTCTTCCAGGGTTCAGGGGTGACTGCAAGGCTCTTGTGGTGGATGCCCTTTGGCAGGATTGGTCGAGGTGGTGGTTCCCGTACTTTTATTTCCTGGCCCTGATGTTGCTCTGGGTTCATGCTCAGCTCGAATCCTTTCAGGGAAGAGTGCTTCTTCTGGCCCCATGGTGGCCGGCCCAGCCTTGGTTTCAGGCACTGGTTCTTATCTTGAGATGGTTATCTTGAGATGATTTCGGGGCTTATTAGTGTCCCCGCGGCCCGGTCCTCGACCAGGCTTTCACCCCCAGGAAGCAGCCCATGACAGCTGACTAACACCCAGGTACCTATTTTACTGCTAGGTAAATTAGCATAGAGTGAAAGAAACTCTGCCCATTGTTTGGCTTGCTCGATGTCGGAACCTGAGAGTTTTTCCGCGGCTCCGCCTCTTTCAGCAGGTTGTGCTGGTGAAGTACCTCACTGATTCGGCTTACTCATCCACTCTTCGCGTCATGTTTTCTTTACACGGATGTATCACCATTTGTATGGTGATCAGGTGACTTCATTGATGGTGTCCCACCTGTGCTCTTTCTCTGTGACATTATGAAGTCTCCTGGCGGTTTTTCTGCCATTTCCTTTCCCCTTGTCATGTTTCGTCGGTGTCTGTTCGGGTTTTGGAAGTCGAACAGGATCCTGGCTGCAGATATCTTATCAACGTTCCGGGCACTCTCTGGCCTTGTGTTGCTGTGGGACATCTGTCACAGCCTGTTGTCTCATCTTTGTCTTGAGACCTGTGGTGCTGCCGCCTCTCTGGTAAGTCCCTGTTTTTACTTATCTGTGGGTAGTTAGCTTCAGGGAGCCGATGGGGCTTCCCACAGAAAACCAGCGTTGAATGTAATGAAACGCCATTTTCTGAGTGAGCCCCGGAGTCTCCTTGGCACTCTCCCTTCCTCCCTCCGGTTGGCAATTTTCATCATTCTACAAACTGGGGTGGTGAGCTGCATGATAATCTTAGCAGGCTCCACCCCCTGTTGGGGAGGAGGGGGGGCACTAATGATCAGGCATGCTAGTTGGATGACTATTTGCTCATTTTGTTTTATTTTTGGAGGAATTCTTAGGCTCTGTTCAGACTCTGTTCATAGATTTTCACTACTTGGGGGTTTGTATTGTTTCACTTCACTTTCTGGGGGTATTCCCCAGTCGATGACAGACATGACATTCTCTAAATGTAAAGTGCTCACGAGGCATTGCTCCTTGTACCTCTCTGAGTGGATATGGTTCTGGCTTGTGGTCTCTGGTAGGCATAAAGTACTCCCATGACTGATTGACCCCAAACTTGCACATGTCAGTTTAGATAGCTTCAGGGAGTCTCTGGGGCTCACCCAGAAAATGGTATTTCATTACATACAACGCTGGGTTTTTTAAACTTCGCTTTCTGTGAACCCCCTCAGTGTCCTGTAAAGTTGAGCTAACTTTCTGGAGGCTTTTTCTGGTGAGGTGAAAGATTGTCACATGCTCTTTGTTCCTTTGTGAGAGAGCCAGTTTCTGGCTCTGGTTCCCACCCAGCAGGCCAAACAGAACTATCCACAACTGATGCGACCCTTAAGTATGAAGTAATCTTGGAAAGATATCACTGGAGCTCCTTCAGAAATTGGTGTTTCATTAGATTCAATGCTGGGTTTAAAAAAATGGATTATCAATTTTCATTTTTTTACCATGTTTTATGTAAATTCCTGAAACTATTTCCAGTTATTTTAAGTGTTCTTTTTCTTGCCCTTTGAGTTAAAACTTGATCATGTTTATCTACTACTAGTTATTTAATATATAAGGAATCTGTGATAATATTTTCTTTATTTTTTCTTGGTGCCATCTATTCCTATGTATTTTAAATATATAAAGATGAATACTTTGTTTTTTATTGTCTATCAGATGATCTAAAATCAACTACTGGGAAACTTGCAATAGTTGGAGAGTTTGGAATTTCTCAGTTGAGAGCCACAGCAGTCAAACCGCGAGTGAAGCCATGGGTTGATACCTTCAATACCACCTCTCATGACATTAAAGAGGTAAGTTATTATATAGTATAATAATGTTTTTATTTTTCTGGGAAGAGCACCTTTGACTCCCCAGAGCTATCCAGGCTGATGTGTATATCATTAGACTTTGGCAACAGTGTGTATGGCGTTCTAGGCCTGCCGGGGACTACGAGCCAGAACCTGGCCCCCTCAGAGAGGCATGAGGAGTAATGGCCTATAGAAATACACACAGGATTTTGGAGCATTCTATAACTGCCATCGACCAGGACAGGCACCCAGAGAGGTAAGCGCCTCAAAACAAACCCCTATTCTGGTTAAAAAGATTAAAACACACAAATGAATGGACAGAACTCCCCAAATGAAAAGGAGCATGATGTCACATGAGCCACGCCACATGTTTGCGCAGCTCCCCCCCCTCCCCAGGAGGGGGAAGGGGGAGCCCCAGACCCTCGCGCCGGCGATCCATCCTCTGCAGTTCTTCGGCTGATGGGACACTGCTTGGTCGTTGTGGCTCCAGCTCCGAACTTTTGTGTTGTGCTGTTCTCTGTTTCAGTACTGCTCTTACGGTTATGTGCGAGCTGGAAGTAATATTCACAGGTACTTGGGCTGCATGTGCTTAGTCACCTTCCCTCAGTGCCCTGTAAGTGCCGCCTTAGGGGCATGGGGTTCCCTTCCACAAGTCACCTTGAGTCTACCTCTGTTGGCCTTTTGCTGCTTAGCGATATACTGCCCCGAATATTTTGAGAGGTTCCTCCCTAGTTTGCCTTTGGGTAAGTGGTAGTTTTTGCACTGGTTGGGGCGCGGGGTACTGCTTAGCTAGTTTGTTAGCCTCTGTGCTTTTTGTGCTCAAAAAGACAGCCTGAGACGGGCTGTCTCGGGCATTGTTTACCTCTGGCCTGCTCATGCACCGCCTGCACAGTCCTGGTCTTTGGCCAGTGTGTTCTTGGTTTTGTCTTCGCCTTGGTTTGTTGTGGCCCTTTCGGTTCAGGTTTGTTTTTCCGGAGCTCTTTCTTGTTTGTTTGCAGCCGTCTCGTCTTTTCCGGCAAGGAATGAGTCTGCTGCTTTCCGGAGGCGTTCTTGGGTTGTTGATGCTTGGTTTGTCAGGACAGGGGTTCATCATGTGTTGTGTTCCGGTTGCGGCCCTCCACCGTTATCTGGGTGCCACGGCCTTTGTGTCCGGGGACGCCTTTGGGTTGATCCGGTTTCCCTTTTTTCCTGTTCGTGGGTACGGGTCTCTCAGGTCATCCACAGGGTTATTAAGTCTAGCCGGCCTGCGGTCTATCCCCATGTCCATGATGTTCGTTTCTCTTATTGCCATCTTTGATAACATGTCCTGGGCTGACATTCGGGCGTGAGGTTTTTGGCGGTCGAACAGGGTCCTGGCTGCACGCTACCTTGTTAACGTTCCTGGGCCTAATCAGGCCTGTGTCGCTTTGGGTCGGTGACAGCAGCCTGTTTCACCTTCGAGTTGAAATGTGGAGCACCAACTGCATCCATTGGTCCCCCTCCTTTTTTAGTCTTTGGTGAAGTAGCTCTAGGGAGCTGTAGGGTCTCCCCCTCCCCCTAGAAAACCAGTGTTGAATATAATGAAACGCCATTTTCTGTGTGAGTCTCGGAAGCTCCCCGGCAACCCTCCCTCCCTCCGGTCGCCAGTTTTCACGTATTTTCATATCCAACCTCAGAATTGCAGGGTGGATCGCCGGCACAGCGTCTGGGGCATCCCCCAGTCTACCCCTGGGGCATCTGGGTAGACATGCGGCACGGCTCGTGTGACTTTCATTTTTGTTTGCTCGTTTACATTTGGGGAGTTCTGTCCACTCGTTTGTCTATTTTCTGCGTTTTTGACCAGAATAGGGGGTTTGTTTTGTGACTCTTACCTTTCTGGATGCCTGTCCCAGTTGATGGCAGATATAGAATGCTCCAAAATCACATGTGCATTTCTATTAGCCATTGCTCCTCGTGCTTCTCTGAGGGGCCAGGTTCTGGCCGTGATCCTCGATAGGCCTAGAACTCCACCCACATCGACTGATGCCAAAGTTAGGACTATCCCTATCAGCCGGGATAGCTCCGGGGGAGCCTCTGGGACTCAACCATAAAGTGGCATTTCATTACATTCAACGTAGGTTTTCTGTGAAGAACCCCTACGGCTCCCTGAAGTTTATCGGGCTAATGTATGTTATATAGACCGGGACATTAGCTAAGGAGTTCAGACCTTCCAGGGACCAGCGCCAGAACCTGGCCCCTTCAGAGAGGTTGCAGGGAGCAACAGCCCTGGAAAACCCCCTTGAGGTTGGGGTTTTCCTTATCTGCCATCGACCGGGGTTAGGCACCCAGAAAGGTAGGCATAACAAAACAAACCCCACATGTTAACAAACTAAAACAAAACCAAACCAAACAGAAAGGTAGAAACTCCCTACAATCCCAAGGAAACAAGCAAACAAGCAAACATCACACTTTACTGCCACACCGATCATCCGCGCAGCCCTCCCCGCCCCGAGAGGGGGAGAGGGGCGCCCCGGATCTCACCGTGCTGGCTGCATAGCATGAGCTCGTAAGCTAATGTCAACTGGGACAGAGGCTTCTCTGGCCTCAGTTTCCTAGGCGGTGTTTGCCTTTCATGGCGTTCTGTGCCGTGTATTGTGTTGTGCAATGGCCAGGTGTTCCTCATCAGTACCGGGGCTGCATGTGCTTAGTGGCTGACTTCCCTAAGCGCCCTGTGAGTACTGCCCCTGCGTGACAAGGTTATCTTCCCTGGGACGTTCGGGAACCATTCCCGTAGAGGTTCTTGCTGCTCGGCATTTGCCTCACCCTTGGGGCCTGCTGGGGCTTGGGGCCCTTGTTTGGCCTTGGGTAGGGACTGGTATTATGCTGGTTAGGGCATCAAGGTGTTGCGCAGCCTGCCACCTACATGACGACCGGTTCCTGTTGCCCCTGGGGAAGGAGTACTTTTGCGGGGTTTTCTTTTGTTTTTATTTTCATTTGCCTGGTAGGGGTCTGCCTAGTGTGGCTATAGTTCCACTGGTAGTATTTGGTGGCCCTCTGCTAGGCCTCCATGATAGTACATGTCGCAGGGGTTTTCAGTGTTGTCCTCTACCCCCTTGTTATTTTTGGGTTTCTTAACCGGTTAGCAACACCTTGCCCGGGCTTCCCATAGCAGTCAGCCTACGCACCCTGGAAACCCCTGTCAGGGCTCAGTGGACCATTGAATGTGTCTTCCGGGTTCCAACCTGTCTTGTACGGGATCGTTGGTTGCTGTGCCCTTGTCTCCGGGTGACAGTCGCCACTTTTACCTCCGTCATGCTGCCTGTTGGGTCACTGACACCTTGACCCGGAGTCTTGCGAGAGAGATTCTCTGCTTGTTCTCCAGTACTCCTGATATTATTACTGTTCAGAGTACAGGCGGCATCTGTGTTGCAAGCTAGGTTAGGTTGCTGCAACACGCTAGGTTAGTTTCCCACTTGGATGCCCCGGGGCCGTCCCGTTTTGGTTAGGTGCTGTTCACTCCTTTCCCTCCCTGTTCCCGGCTCCGGACTGTCTGCGGGTTTCGGGGTCGGGGCGGGGTTTAGTTGGGGCCGAGACTCGGGCGGTTTTCGGGGGCTGCCCCGTTCGGGTTGAGGACGGAGGTTTTCGAACCTGTTTCTCCTGCCAAGGCTTCTGGGTCTTACCAGAAGCCCTTTCTTGCTGCCTTTTCCCTGGACTCTTCCTTTTCTTTAATTGCAGAGGGCGTGGAGGACGGCTCTGCCCTGGGTCCTCTGTTGCAGGTTCCCGGGGCTGTGGGGGGATGCCTGCTAGCAGTTCTGGGGCTGTTTGCCCCTGCCAGAGGTATTAGCCTCTGGGGGTCGTGTGGCGGAGCTTCATGCTCTTTTTCGGCGCAGAGGTTTTTGCTCTTTTGGTCGTGGTCATAGGTATGTTCGTCTACAGCTGTCTCCCTTTTTTCTGGCGAAGAATGAGACTGCTGCCTTCCAGAGGAGTCCATGGGTTGTTGATGCTTGGTTTGTCAGGCCAGGGGTTCATCATGTGTTGTGTTCCGATTGTGGCCCTCCGCCGTTATCTGGGCGCCACGGCTTTTGTGTCCGGGGACGCTCTTTGGGTTGATCCAGTTTCCCTTCTTCCCTGTTCACGCGGTCGGATCTCTCAGGTCGTCCAAATAGTAATTAAATCCAGCCAGCCTGCGGTCTATCCCCGTGCCCATGACGTTCGTAAGTTTGATGCTCTTGCTGCCATCTTTGGCAATATGTCTTGGGCTGACATTCAGGCACAGGGTTTTTGGCGGTCGAACAGGGTCCTGGCTACACGCTACTTTGTGAACTTTCCTGGGCCCAGTCGGGCCTGTGTGGCTTTAGGTCGATGGTTGCAGCCCGTTGTCTCGACTTCAGGTTGAGGAGTGGAGCACTGACCGCCTCCCGGGGACTTACCCTAATATTCGGTTGTCTTTGGTGAACTAGCTCCAGGAAGCCGTAGGGGCTTCCCCCAGAAAACCAGCGTTGAATGTAATGAAACGCCATTTACTGGGTGAGTCCCGGAGACTCCCCGTCAACCCTCCCTCCCTCCCTCCGGTCAGTGGTTTTTCGCGTTTTTGATATCCAGCCTCAGAACTGGGGTGGGGATCGCCGGTGTGGGGGTCTGGGGCTCCCCCTTCTTCCTCCCTGGGAGGGGGGAGCTACGCAGTCATGTTTGTTTGCTCGTTTCTCTTTTGGGGATTTATGTCCTCTCGTTTGACGATTTTCGTTGTTAACCAAAATAGTGGTTTATTTTGTGGCGCTTACCTTTCTGGGTGCCTGTCCCGGTCGATGGCAGATATAGAATACTGAAAATCACATGAGCATTTCTATGGGCCATTGCTCCTCGTGCCTCTGTAAGGGGTCCAGGTTCTGGCTCGTGGTCCCCGGAAGACATAGAACTCTACCCACATCGACTGATGCAAAATAATTAGGGTATCCATATCAGCCATGCATAGCTCCGGGAAGCCTCCGGGACTCACCCAGAAAATGGCGTTTCATTACATTTAACGCTGGTTTTTTCAGGGGTTA